AAGAATCTAGAATTTTTAAAATTATATTTTTTTTGAAAATTAGAATAATGATGAAAAATATAATTAAATTATTATATATTATATCATATTATTTTAAAATAATTATATTATTATTATTATTATTATTATTATATTCTAAGTTCTAATTAGAAAAATAAAAATTTCTAAATAGAAGCCAAGACAAACAGTTTAAAAAATTATTGTTAGAAATAAAAAATAATAATGAAATATTTACGGATATAAAAAATTGAAAAATGTCTTTTTAATCTACTTGAAATTAATTTTACCTTTTGAAAATTTAAACTTTCTAAATAGCAAGTTGCTGATTTTAAACGAAGATAACATATATTGCAAATCTGGAATGTGGACATTCGTTTTTTTTTTTTTTTTTTTTTGTTAATACGAACTACAAGAAGTTTTGAAACATTATTCTCGCTTATATTGGTGAATGGTACAAGAAAATTAAATAATAATATTTGTCTTTTAAAATATACACGTGACATTGTGCAATTTTCAAATAATGTTTAATAAACCGAGAAAAATATTTTCCATTTGTAAATAAGATAAATGTTTACGAGATATTTACAATGAAAAATTATAACTCGTGTATTTGTTATGTAAATTATGATTTAAAAAAAAAAATTAATTGTGCAAATTTCCTGCAATATGTATATACTGTGGAAGGAATTCTAATTTTTATTATTTGTTGTAAAAGCATAATTTGTTGATTTATTCAATTGTAAGGATTGTATAATAGGCGTGATTAGGAGAACATTTTGATATTTTAAGACTTTTTTTTCTATTTTTTATTAAATTCTTGTTTATTTATTTTTTTTTGCTATTTATCTTATTATTTATAATAATTATTATTAAAATAATAGTTAATAATAAATAGCTAAATATAGAAAAATATTCCTTGTTAAAATAAAACTATGCAAATTTTTTTTTTTTGAAATATTACTTATAACGGTTCAGTCGCATAGAACTGGAATATGTTTCAAATCACGTTTTCAACGTGAAATTAATTTCAAGTATATATAAGAGAAACAAAAATTGTGAAATAGAATTTTCTACCGTACACGGTAATATGTGTGAATATATATTTACTATTTTTGTTACATTTTGTACGGTTAAAATATATTGTATTTTTTTTTTTCTCTTAACTGCTAGAGAAATAGCACGTGACATCACTACAAATTCTGAGCCTCTTTTCTATCTATAACCGTCTACGTAAAAGAGTCACAAAATTTAGTAGATGCTTTAGAAAATTTATGAGATCGTGTATATAGTGGCACTATGCAATGAACTAATGTTCCTCTATAGAGACAGAGACTTTTATAGTCTTTAAAAGGATTAGCTGTGTAATAGTTTGTTAGATTTCAATAATAAATATTTAATACAATTAATTTGTTTATATACCTAAAATGGGAATATATTTTTTTTCTTAATAGTTAAATATTTGTTTTAATAATTAATAAATATTATCACTGAAAAACAAAATTTATTTGATTTAAATAAACTGTATTTGAAACAAATAAATATTTATTTGATAATAGTCAAGTAATTGAGCATTTGAATCAAATACATTTTTTTCCGAGTAAAATGATAAATAAAAAACAAATTCAAACTTTAGTGTGTGCAACTGTAAATATTAAATTTAAAATTTAAAACATTTTACCAGGATAATAGAATAAAATAATTATGGAAAATCTCTTATTAATATAATTATGAGTGTAAAAGTTTTTATATAAAATTTCAAGTTCTTCTATTTAATTTTTTATAAATGCGTGGTATCTCATTATTTTTTCAAGGGAAAATAAAAAAATTATATAATGTAATTATAATCAGTATCTTTACAAATTCGTTTATTGGACTGATTTGTCAGATACTAAAGTACTTTAGTACTGATTCAAAGAATTAGTTTTCTTTTTTTAAATGAATTTTTTGTTAAATTCATCTTAGGATTATTATCATTTTTTTGGCGGGACATTTATATCCTTTGGAATATGTTTGAGTCAGCATTGTGCGTATTTGGACATTATCGTTGAAACATCAACACCTCTGTGCCAAGTCGTTAGGGGGAAATGACTGCTGTTAGAGTCTTTCCGGTGGCACCGGAAGTGTCTTCGTCTCGCCCTCTAACCCTCAATGTTTCGCGACAAATCACACACACACATACACACACTAGAAATGCAGCTCTTCCTGGCGCTTCAGGCTGAATAGTAACACACGATTATCTTGCATAGAAGAGGGACAAGTCCTCTGAATAGTTTTCCGGATCCGATTATCCTGCATCATGTCGGTCAAGTTTGCAAGCCTACAAGGTGGGTTATATAATAAGCAAAGTCTGTATACAAAGTCATATGGATTAGAGATTATCAATTTTCCTAGGGGATGAACTTTTCTCTCTCTCTCTCTCTCACTCTTGATCTTGATCCTCTTGCCTCCCTTGGTAATCACAATGTCGCTAAAGTTAAGGCGCTTCTAAACGAACAAACGCTGATGTGGTTGGATATCGATCGTCAGTTGACGGGTAAATTAAACTCGGTTTACCCAGGTTTCCGAAACCCTCATGTCCCCTTTTTGTGTGTATGTGTCTCAGGAAAGGAGAGAATAGGAGTGTCGCATGCGATGGACAACTAAATTGTTCGACAAATACCAAAATAGTTGAAATAATTCAATCAGAACTTCAACAGGCAAATTATTTTCTACCACTTTGGATTAATTGAAATATCTAGAGCTGTTGAAATTCCAATTGTTGATTGTACCGTTCGCACTAATTACATATTGTTTTTCTAGTCAGTTGTTACACAATTGCGCTATCCTGAGAATTTTCATTCTTTATTGTTCAACATTTAGTTTTCTATTTACAAAAAGTTTATATGGTTTGAAAATATTTTTTCCAAATCTTCTATAATATTATGTATTTTGTATTTTAATTTATAGATTTATTCAAAGTATAGATTTGAAAATATTTATGTACATTAGTGTCAGCACTTTCTTGAGCCTATTCAATTTCATCTTAGTGTTTCTTTTTTTTTTTTCATTGCAAGAGTCATTCTTCGCGGCGTTTATTGCTTGCTCATGTCCTAACGAATGCACTAACTTGTGGCATTAGTATTTCTTTGAATTCTATCGAGATGCTAAGCGAACTATAGCCACCTGGCATGCAAAGGCAATGTCTTGAATTCTAGCATCTAACCGACTATAAGGGTGAAAGGATCCTCAAGGATAAAGAAGGTAAGAGGAACGATGTCGTGAGCGAGTGAGAAAGAGGGAGAGAGAGAGAGAGAGAGAGAGAGAGATATGTGTCAAAGCATTTGCCTTCAAAGCAAGAATGCCGAAAGCGTTCCAACGTTCCGTTCTGCTCAGGAGTAATCGTATGTTACCCGTCATATCTCGGAAGCCCTAAGAAGGCACTACGAATACGATATTGTGAATGTATATTTTCCAATAACGAGAAAGATGCTCTCACCGGTTCAAGAACTCTGAAATTTAATACCCTTGCGAAAGAGTCAAATATATATATACACCTAACCATTCCATAAATTCTGCATTGAGAAGATTTATCCAATACATTAAAATAAATTATTTTTGATGTACGTTACATATTTATTTAAGTAAAAAAATTTTTTTTACACTCTATTTTCAATTAATTTTCAAAGTTGATAATATTTATTTTTTATATATTCGTTTCGTTGCAACAGTGCACAGGAGAAAAAAAAATTGTTTGATTCAAATAATTGATTGACTATCACTGAAACAATAAATTATACCATTATTACACTGCAAAAAGAAATATCTTATTATAAGATACATTGGAAGCAAGTTACCAAAAGTATCTTCCTATCCATCTTCTATCTTAAAAAACTAATGCATTTTAAGTTGTTTTAGATAACTTAGAAGCAAGTTATAAAAAAACATCTTAAAAAGGCGACCAAAACATCTTAAAATAAGATACTTCTTTTTGCAAGTGTAATACCATTTATTAGAATCAGGATTCTAATATCTAAATGGTATTTGTTTACACTATAAAAAGAAAGTACAAAAATAGTACCGATTTAAGGTATCAAAATAGAACCAAATGAAAATTTAGTACCTTAAGTCGGTACTGAATTAAAACCTCTTGTTTTACAGTGTTCAAATACAAAAATTATTATTGGTTCAAATACAGTATATTTAATTCAATTATTTGGTAAATATTTATTTGATAATAGTCAAGTAACCGATTATTTGAATGAAATAAATTTTTGATTCAGTGTATTATCAATTAAATATTTTAAATAATTATTATTTGAGTTAATTAAATGGTATTTGTTTCAAATACAGAAATTGTTGGTTTAAATACAGTTTATTTAATTCTATTTGGTTTCAAAAATTATTTGGTTCATAATATTTATTTGTTAACAGTCAAGTAACCAATAAAGTAAATTTCTTTTCCAGTGTGTATTTAAATAATACCTCACAATTTACTGTTATTATTAAAACAATTAATAAAGAAAATATAATAATATTTAATTAAAAAAATAATTTAAATTAAATAAATTTTAAATAATTAAAAGAATGAGAAAAAAATTATTTTGTGTATATTTATATAGATACGATATATGGTTTATGCAACATGTTATTCATAGTCCCCTTCTCCAAAGACATCTTCAGAATGCAGTATACCTGGGAATCGATTGAGGTTGCGTACCAAAGCCGAGGGGCTCTTTGGAATTTAACGCAAACCTCCATCTAATTAATCTAACTGCACTAATCTGATTGGAGCAAAGTCGTTATCGTTAACCAAGGGGGGGGGGGCGTTCAAGGTCTACCGTTCTAGATACGATTATAAGATTTATTCCACGTTTCTCTGTACTTATATATAGACACCATGGCTTCTATATACGAAAACATATTTCTTTCTAGGCGTAATTGATGCATTATAGACGATTTTAATTTAAGTGTCTCATTAAAGCTCGAGAGATTTCATTTCGTCTTCTATTTTATGATTACAGAATATTCTGGAAAAATTCAATCCTGGAGCGAGGCAATTGATCAATGCAGGGAAAGCGTATCTCAAGGCTCTTCATGGTGAGTGAAATTTTTTTTTTTCTTTTTAATTGATTCAATTTTATCTTGAATTATTTGCTATATAAAAAATGTAGAAAATTAAGGTTTTTCCAAGATCGTTTTGCTACTCGAGCAATTTTCGAATGACTATTTATATTGCAAGTTAAAGTGGCATAGTTAATAGTATGCTAACAATGAGAACATTGACAGAAGTAACGCGCGCTGTTAATTTAAAATCTTTATTGAGAGAAAAAATATAAGGGACTAATTTAATTTTCATTGAATTAAAGTGGGACTTAATTAGTTTCAACGTTATACTTTGATAAACAGAGGAATTTTGCTTTTAAATATATAATTTAGAGAAATAAAATATAGTTATTAAATTGAATAAAATATTGTCGAATGAGAAAGAAGGAAAAAAATGCAATCAATTTTTATAAATTATCAATTATTGGTTTTTTTTTGTGATGGTGATAATATACATTATGATGTAACTTTGTTGAGAAAATTTATTATACCTCCAAGAAGACAAAATATTATTATCTTTTAATTAATTTTATCAGTTTCAAACAAATTAAGACTTTAAATTCCAACTATTTATGAAAAGCTAATTAAAACATAGTTTGTTAGTTTACAAAGTTATTTAACTATTTTTTAATAAGAAATTAGAAATATGGAATATTTTCTAGTCATTGTTTTTATTGCAATGAATATAAATTTTGTCTGACGTAATATAAACGTAATTTATGAGATAAATAATTGTTGCTAAAACAGTTATGTTTAAAATGATTTATGTGGAATTTATAATTATTATAAATAAAATAATTTCATTTTGCTCGTATTTTTCAGCTATAAATTTTAAAATGATTAATGGAAAATATTTTAATCATTTTACACGCAGTGTTGTGCAACAAAGCTATATTCTTTATTATTTTCATGATTTAAATTAAATAGTTTTAAAATTTCGTAGTTCGAATTTTTTATGTAATTGAATTTTATTATAAAATTCTAAATATTTGTTTAAATAATAAATATAAAATTTAAATGAGATAATAATTTTATGAATCCTGTGCAAATTCGATTTTGGTTAATTTGATTAAATGTTATTGACATAATTAATTTTTTAAAGACTAGAGAAATTTTGAATAGTGTTTAATTTAATTTTGAAATGAAATATAATCCCCGCATATTAACACATGAGAATTTCGAATTGAAATATTATTATTATTATTATTATTATTTTTATTAAATTGAAAATCAGATTACACAATATCCTCATTCAAGAATGAAGAGAGAATAACTGGATTTACGAGTTGCTCTATTCAAATTTCAAGCTTCTCCCATTTCCTGATTTTGAATTCTCCTGAAAATCAGTAATATATGAATATACCAGAAACACGGGGATATCGTATCGGACCGTGCCGGTGAAAGCTTCTGCGTAAGCGGGGCTTAAATCTGGCTTCGTCACGGTCTCGAGCACATGTAGAATTGTGCATGAGTAGTCGAGAATTGCAGAAGCAGAGGTGGTACTTGGTTGCTGCATATGGGTGAATTTATGGTGTCTCGTGTGTACCAAGAGAATTCTGTCCAGCATCAGCTGGAATATCGACGTAAATGTGTTGTCTCACGATAGATTTACGACGGTCACAAGGCGAATCCTTACGTCGAGAATGAGAGAACGCGCAGCGCCTGAAACTTACGACCCTGTAATTCCCTCCTTCCTTGTTTATCCTTTAATACGGCTGACTCCTTGTAAAGGACCTCCCCCTCTCTTTATTCTCTTAGAGCTACGAAAAGACTTCTCGTATTTTCTACTTAACTCTAAGCACCGTAACCAGTGCTTCACTTCACTTTACTCTTCAATTCTCTGCTGTTTACTCACTCAAGCTTCTCTCAAATGTTTTCAGTTTATTTATCAAAGTATAAGAACTGTTTGATGGTTTATGAGTCTCGAGTTGGGTTTCAGTTTGGATCGTAAAATTTATGTTTTTTAGTGGCTTTCTCGAGAGCTTTTTTATTGCCCCCGCAGTTTATCATTCCTTAGAAGAATAGATATGTTGTCGTATCTAAATTGAGGTTTTTTTTTTTCTACTAAGTTGACTGTTAAAAAGTCACATTATAAAATAAATACAATGAAAAAAAAATTTATTTGATTCAAATACTCGATTACTTGTCTATTATGAAATAAAAATTTACTTGAACAAAATAAATATTTACTTGAATCAAATAAATATTTACTACTACCAAATAAAGATTTACTATAGTATCAAATAAATATTTTACTTGAACTAAATAATTTTTATTTGATTCAATTAAATGTTATTTATTTCAAATACAGAAATTTTTTGTTCAAATACAATTTATTTAATTTAAATAAAAATTATTTGATTCAAGTAAATATTTATTTGATAATAGTCAAGTAATCGAGTTTTTGAATCAAATAAATTTTTTTTTCAGTGTACAGTTAATTTTTTTTTTACAGATTGATAGTATTAGTTTGATAGTAGGTGGGGAATTTTTTGTTATATTTGTCTTGCAGTAGAATAGGTCAGTTTCAGTCAGACGAAAACTGGTCATTTTGATTTTAATATATAGTTAACATAAAAATTATGAGTCAGAAATAGCAAATTTTTGTAAGATTATTATCAGTAGTAAAAGTAAATTTAAATAAGATTTTCTAATTGTTTGTACATTTAATATTAAGTAGTTAAAAGACACTTTTAGGAGAGAATAAGTCTCTAAAATTGAAAATTTCAAAAAAATTTTCCAAAAATCCAAAATTTATTTGATTTTAGCTGTAAATCCGTTGGTGCGATCAAATAGTACAAAACTCAAAAATTCTTGTTATTTTAAAATCAGTAGTGAATTCCATTTTCAGTCAGACAACAATTTTACCGAGTTATTATAATTTTGGTATATTAGTTTCAAGAAAGCAATAAAGTTTAAAGTTAAAACTTTATCGAAATATTTTCTAAGTAGTAAAAGTGATTTTTAAGTAAGACACCAAATTTCTAAATTCTTCGACATTTATTTATCGTTTAAATAGATCAAATTTCCTCAAATAAAAAAATTTCCATGTAGAAAATATATTTAGAGAAATGTTTTCATTTTAAATGTCATGTGTCGGCTTTATATATATATATATATATAGTTTCTCTAATGACAATTTCTCTCTTGTTATTTAAATTTTCATTGTAGACGGACGAATGAATTATTCTAGACGTCATCCAGTTAAGAATTGAAATAAAATTATTTCGTGCATAAAGCTTTGACGCGTGTCTGATGTGCTTTGCCATTGCTTTGTTCAGTAAAGAAAAGAATTTTGCTTTCACTCTTCAAAGTGTTTTTATTTTCTCACTCTCTTTCTCCCTTGGACACAGGGAAAGAAAGCCATTCAGTTCCACAGTACTTAAATGTACGTGACACCATGGTACATATAAAGCTTTTTTTTTTACACTCTCGAGAAATAAATCAATATAGTTTCTCCCTGATAATAATGAAAATGACAGTTGCGATGGTATTGAGGTTTGTGCTTCATTTGTCAGTGTATAGTGAATGAGGGTTTCATTGAGTGCGAGGCTTTATTGTATATATAGAAATGGGTCTAAATAGTATATATATATATAGTCAGAGAATTTCGAAGGGAGAGTGTCTAGAATTTAATTGTATCCTTTGAATCATCCTCGGGCTTTGTCCTCGAGTTTTCGTCCTTGGGGAATTAATTCGTTCGCGTTCCATTCCCTTCAATTCGACAAAGTCTTAAGTTCCTCTCGATCGCCTCTTCTTCAAACTAAACCAGCCGAAGAAGCAGTCTTAGCCAATTTATAACGTATTCGAGCCACTTTGAGGCTTGGCGCTCCCGTTCTTCACCTTGTCGTCGTCGTCGTTGCTTCTTATCCCAGCATCCGGGACCTTTTCCCCTTTCCCACGAATTAGGGCGCGGAAGTCGCGTAGTTAACTTGGAAGGAGGTAGAATCGTATCAGGAAATTTCGTTCCCTTTTCAAGTTCATTGGCGGATATGTCTGGGCTGGCGTTTTGATTATATAACTTTTCCATAGAAAGGAAGAGCGAAAAAAAATGAAAAGATTAAGGATGACTTCAAAAGCTTTTAGTTTCAAATTTGCATTTCTAACCGAATTAGATTTATTTTTAGTTTTAAACGGAAAAAAAAAATTTCTTGTGTTATCAACAAACTGCAGTTGTAGTCTCCATAAAACTGATTTTGGGAAATACACTCCCGCGTGAAAATGACAACTGTGGGAGTAGTATGGGTTAAATTTTTTTAAGATTTTATCCATAGTTGGGCCACTATGGGGCAAGTATGGGTTTTGTCCAAATCCCATAGTCAAAATCACTTGATTTAATTTTAGGATCATATTTTTTTTAATTTGAACCATTTTTTAACCAATTATTACACAAAAAATGTATAAAAAGCATATATTTTTATTATGAATATTATTAAAATAGTTTCAAGAACTTTTGTTAATATTTCAATAGTATAAATTTATTTATAATTTTATGGTGTATTTTTATTATATATTATAAATTATTCGTATTTAAATATATCTTATTTTCAATTTTCAATTTTTTTTTCAAGCAATAAGCTAAATAATTACTTTTAAATGATTCTTTTCGAATAAATTTAAATTTTGATTTCCTTTTTTAAGAATATTTTAGCATAAGCTAAATATTGATTTGTTTTATTACATACGACTGATTCTGTTAAAAAAGTAAATGATTTAATAGTCTATATTTATCAAGAATAAAAAATTATTTAAAACAATTCAAAAAATTTTAATTTTTTTAAAGTTTCCAAATATTTGAAAATTTATCATTTCACAAAATAAAAATTTTTATTTAAAATAAAGTATTTATTTATTAAAAAGAGAATTTGATAAAATAAAAATTTATTTAACAAAAAGACAAATTAATTATAACAAGGAAATTTTTATGTAATAACCTCAGAAATATGTATATATTTTTTCAATGATAAAAATTAGAAAAGTTTTTGAAATCACTT